GTGTGTGTAAGAGTGTGTGTGTGTAAGAGTGTGTGTGTGTGTGTGAGAGAGAGTGTGTGCGTGCGTGCGTGCGAGTAGGAGGACTGATGAAGCACTGACTCGTCAGCCGTTAAAGGCCTGGTTTCTCTCTCCCTGTTTGATGGCAGTGGCTGATATTCCTGGGCTGATTCCCGGCGCTCATCTGAACCGTGGGCTCGGCGTCTCTTTCCTCAGGCACATCGAGCGCTGCCGGCTGCTGCTGTTCGTGTTGGACATGTCTTCCGCGGAGCCCTGGGAGCAGCTCCAGCAGCTGTGCTTTGAGCTGGACCAGTACAATCCTCAGCTGTCCCACAGACCTCGTGCCATCGTGGCCAACAAGATGGACCTGCCGGAGGCCAGGAGGAACCTGGAGGCTCTGAGGAGCCGCGTCCATCAGATGGTCATCCCTGTGTCTGCGCTGACCGGACACAACACGGCACAGCTGATCCTGCACCTCAGAGAGATGTACGACAGCTACCCGCAAAACTCCTAGATGAGGACGCAGCCGTTTCCACAGATAGAGTTGAGCCCTTCCATCTATAACTACTGTTATAGAAATACACCGCTTACTGTAAGACCAGAACATGCAGGTTATTATCAGACTGTTGTTTGGATCACTTACACTGAACATGTCCAGTTACTGTACATCATCATGACAACAAAGCTGAAAAGCAGGGACTTTCTGCACTTCACACGTGAGAAGTCATGTGAGTGAGAGCGAAGGCACATTTCTGTAGTCAGCCAGTCGTTACTGCAGAGTAAACCCTGATCTTCTGCACGTCTGGCTGCTTCAGTAAGTGTGCAAAAAAGATACGAGTATTTAATGTTTCTTTTTATTTAATAAACTTTATTGTAATTATATTATTGTAAGTAAATCATTACACATTGTTCTGTTTATATAATGGTTTGTAGTTTTCTAGTTTAAAAGCAATAAATTGAATGAAGAGTTTGTTTTTCATTTGCTGATGTAATCTAGCTTCCTCTTGAATAAGGTCTGACTGAGGAACTGCTGAGTTGAATGTTCAGATGGGATCGTGGTGATAAACACCAGTTCCTCTGTGTCCGTGTCTCTGATCTGTGCTGAAGCACTCGAATCTCTCATCACAGAACGCCGTCTCCTCAGTCCTCAGTCCACGCGTGCGTTCAGAAACATCTGTCTGTCTGTCTCTTGCAGATTAAAGTTGAAGTAAGACGCACTGAAGGTAATTCGCATTCGCGTGTCGCTGGCCACTTGTTGGCTAAATCAGCCAGCCCTAATCATCATGATGATAATTTCTTCTCTGCTTGAAACAGGTCAAGAGCTGTTGAATAGTCTGTATGCGCTGGCTGTGAGATGTGCAAATAGAGGAGGAGACTGGTTTGCTGGGGAACTGGATGCTCTCATCTGAACCGTGGGCTCGGCGTCTCTTTCCTCAGGCACATCGAGCGCTGCCGGCTGCTGCTGTTCGTGTTGGACATGTCTTCCGCGGAGCCCTGGGAGCAGCTCCAGCAGCTGTGCTTTGAGCTGGACCAGTACAATCCTCAGCTGTCCCACAGACCTCGTGCCATCGTGGCCAACAAGATGGACCTGCCGGAGGCCAGGAGGAACCTGGAGGCTCTGAGGAGCCGCGTCCATCAGATGGTCATCCCTGTGTCTGCGCTGACCGGACACAACACGGCACAGCTGATCCTGCACCTCAGAGAGATGTACGACAGCTACCCGCAAAACTCCTAGATGAGGACGCAGCCGTTTCCACAGATAGAGTTGAGCCCTTCCATCTATAACTACTGTTATAGAAATACACCGCTTACTGTAAGACCAGAACATGCAGGTTATTATCAGACTGTTGTTTGGATCACTTACACTGAACATGTCCAGTTACTGTACATCATCATGACAACATAAAGCTGAAAAGCAGGGACTTTCTGCACTTCACACGTGAGAAGTCATGTGAGTGAGAGCGAAGGCACATTTCTGTAGTCAGCCAGTCGTTACTGCAGAGTAAACCCTGATCTTCTGCACGTCTGGCTGCTTCAGTAAGTGTGCAAAAAAGATACGAGTATTTAATGTTTCTTTTTATTTAATAAACTTTATTGTAATTATATTATTGTAAGTAAATCATTACACATTGTTCTGTTTATATAATGGTTTGTAGTTTTCTAGTTTAAAAGCAATAAATTGAATGAAGAGTTTGTTTTTCATTTGCTGATGTAATCTAGCTTCCTCTTGAATAAGGTCTGACTGAGGAACTGCTGAGTTGAATGTTCAGATGGGATTGTGGTGATAAACACCAGTTCCTCTGTGTCCGTGTCTCTGATCTGTGCTGAAGCACTCGAATCTCTCATCACAGAACGCCGTCTCCTCAGTCCTCAGTCCACGCGTGCGTTCAGAAACATCTGTCTGTCTGTCTCTTGCAGATTAAAGTTGAAGTAAGACGCACTGAAGGTAATTCGCATTCGCGTGTCGCTGGCCACTTGTTGGCTAAATCAGCCAGCCCTAATCATCATGATGATAATTTCTTCTCTGCTTGAAACAGGTCAAGAGCTGTTGAATAGTCTGTATGCGCTGGCTGTGAGATGTGCAAATAGAGGAGGAGACTGGTTTGCTGGGGAACTGGATGCTTTTCTTCTGTTGACTTTTAATAGCAGGACATACAGATGAGAACGTTAGCTTTTCTTTGACGTTGAGAGCATGTGTCAGTGTTGTCAGTAATCGTTACCAATTATTTAAATTATCAATGCATTCTTGAGAGCAGTTCGGTACCGAAGAAGAAATGCTGTACTGGCTGCCCAATGCACTGTGCCATCACCACCTGGTGGCCTAATGTGATTCTTGCAGATATAAAAGCATAATTTCATAGTCTCTGATCCCAACCCACAAAAACCAAACCCATGACCAAACATGCAGCTCATATTTGACATGAACCCCTAGGAGGAGTATGTAAAAGTTCATCACAAGCGCTGTGCACAAGTATCAGTAATGACCGTCAGTGTGAAAGCTGGTCAGAGATCAGTGACTGTAACTGAACGTGTTCTGGCTCGATGAGCACAGTACTGTATGAAAGGCACCTGCACGATTTAAGTCAGGCCACTCAGTGGTAAAATTATCACATCAAATTAATTTGTCTGCAGTTGTGATCCAGAGTGGTCTCTCTTACAACCAAAACATACTTCAGAGAGTACAATGAGTTCTAAGCAAAACAGAGTATTCATTCAGTAATATCAAACTCATTTATCGTTGAACAAAAGCTTTGAAAGTCGTTTGGATAATCCAAGGAGCAGATAACGCATTCGGATTCTCCTTCATCTGCATTGGTCCTCAACATCCCATAATATGCCCACCTGTCGTATGTGAATATGTTTAATTGGAAATCAGTGTTGCCAACTTAGCAATTTTGTTGCTAAATTTAGCAACTTTTCAGACTACCCTAGCAACTTTTTCTTCCAAAAGCACCTAGCAACAAATTTAGCTATTTTTTTTTATTTATTTGGCAGCTTTTAGCAACTTTTGATAAGTGACTCAAATGATAAAAAGGCACAATTTACCATTTAAATTACACAAAAAGAGGAAACCAAAGATGCCTAGCAGTACACACGTTACAGGAATTAAGTTAGCTGCTATTTGCAATTGTTTAATAGTAATAATAATAATAATAATAAAACTAAATCATAAAAATAAGACCATTCATAGGGGCATTCACTATAAACAATTTATTTTCAACCTTAGGCATACACGACTTTCTGGCGAAAATGAAACTAGCAGCCTGTGTGAAATGCGCTAGGCTGTCCTGTACTACTGTCCTCTCATTCCGCATCAGTACAAATACCTGCACGCGTTGCGCGTGTTTTGCTTGCTTGAGTGTTTCTGCATTATATGAGTGGCTTTGGAATATAAATCGCAGCACGTTTCAGATGAAAAAACGCGACTTCTATTTCTGAAAATCATTATCAAGATGAATTTGTTCTGACACAGTGTAACTCTGAGTTCTTGTCATATTTTATTACCATTTTCTAAACTATAGCGAATAAACTGTGATAATGTGAGAAATGTTGAAGGTGTCTGAATAAATTTAGGTTTAACCAACTAACATTATACATACTCTTTTGGTTTCTGTACCCAATATTTAAAAAATGTACAAATGTACAAATGCAATAAAATATTGGTATCGGTACTCGGTATCGGCAAGTACCAAAAATAAAAGTATCGGTATCGGGCGAGTACTGGAAAAAGTGGTATCGGTGCATCCCTACTGGAGGACAAGTTCAATGAAACGGAAAGGTACCACAGACGGTAAGATTTGAGGCTGTATGGACTGGCTGAACTGGAAGGTGATGATGTTAAAGCCCGGGTGGTTCAAATTTGCTGCTCTGTCATCCCAGAAAATGAGGTGGCCTGTCAACAGCACATCGATGTCAGCCACAGGGTTGGCAGGAAGAACGCGGAGAAGACTCGACCAGTTATCATCAGGTTCATTGCCAGGTCAACAAGAGATCTCATTTGGAAGAACGCTAGAGGATCAGAATATTTGAAATCTAAGAAGCTGCGTTTTGGAGAGGACCTGACGACAGAAGACAAGGAGGCTCGGAACAAACTGAGGCCCCAAATCGATGCTGCACGTAAAGAAGGAAAAATAGATTTTTATGTGGGAGCTAAAGTAATGATGGGAAAGAGGTTCGAGTGTAGTGAGCAACAGCCGTTTGCTTCACATGTTTGTTAAGTATTTTATCTCTATTTGAGATATTCACTCACAAGCTCCTCTGTCACTTTGGTTTTGAGAGCATTGTACTCTAAGGTAAATTACATTTATTATGTCTCACATCTCTTTGATAGATTTGTTTAAATACACACTGGATTAGTGATTTTTTTAAAGGGGTCATATGATGCGATTTCAATTTTTCCTTTCTCTTTGGAGTGTTACAAGCTCTTGGTGCATAAAGAAGATCTGTAAAGTTGCAAAGACTAAAGTCTCAAATCCAAAGAGAAGGGTTTAATTTTCATTTGATTAGGATAAATTAAATTAATGTTTTATGCCTTCATCTGATTACCAGAAAAATTAAGAACATTTTATAGGGCCCTATTATTGTTTAAAAAAAGGACCCAAAAAAAAAAAAAAAAAGTATAGGTTTAAAATACAGGCATGTGGCTTAATTTCTTTTTATTAATTCACCATTTGTAAACTGATGTTTACTGTTCATTTAAAAAAAAAAATATGAATAGCATTTGTATTAAAACTATATACACTGAATGTAATCAAAAAATCAAAATCGAATCGGGACATCTGAATCGACACCCAGCCCTAGTTGTCTGTGGTTTCAGAATTTGTAATGGGTCAGTAGGCATACACAGAAAAAAAGAGGCCAAATGCTTGTCACTGGAGCAGTACCCTTAAAAAGGACGTCTTTTTGCCTAATGTAGGCAAAATACATAATGTAGGCTAATACAAAATATGCATACAACAATTTATGTACATTACATGTTATTACAAATAAGCCAAAGGCCTGGTAACTGCTGCTGCTACACTTACAGGACGATCAAATCCTTCTTTAGGCTATTGGCCAAACATTTAATTCAAATATTCACTTAATCTTTCATTTTTGGCCAGCTTTTTGCTATAGATAACACAGCCTCTATGATTTCAAAAATTAACCATGGTTTTATCGTAGTAAAACTGCTTAATTTTCTTTTGCGTGATTTCTGAATGCTTGAGACTATCAAATCAATCAGACAACTGTATTAATAAAGTCATAGCCATAGGTAACTGTATAGAGCTACAATTGTAATTTGTAAATAATACCATTTATTTATTTACTTTTATATTTTATTAAAGTTCTCTTTTGACCCCTATAGGTGTTTTTTTTTTCTTCCATTGTAACGCTCGGCCTTATCGGCTGAGTTACATGGATTTAAAATGGGTCAGATTAAACTGTGTGAGATAAAATAAGTGTTTTTAAAAGATGATACAACAACAAAAGTAGAATGAATAAATAGTGTATTTACATAATGCACAAGGAACTTAAAACAACACAATAAAACTAGAATAACTTAGGCTGTTAAAAGCAGATTGTCCATTTAAATCGTACCCTAAAACAGTCCTTAAGAATCCCAGTGTGTTGAAGTCCCAAGGTAAAAGTGTCCACCGGTGTATATACAATTCCAAAGAAAGTGATCATCCAAAATGAGTGAGATACTGGAAAGGCAAGTCCATGAACAACTCCTCAATCCAGCGTGGTTGTT